GTTACTCTCATCAGATGTGTTCCCTGGACTTTGAACCTCCTAGCCTCTGAAACTGTAAGCAGATAAATTTTGTTTTCTTATAAATCACCCATTTCCAAGTTTTTTGTTATAAGCAACAGGAACGGACTAATACAGTGGTCCAAAGGGAAGATAAAGAAGGGTTTTTATCCTGCAGCAGTACCTCTAAGACCCCCCAGATCACCTGGGCGAGGCCCTCATGCCTTTGCTCCTCTACGGCCCACAGGCTGGCACTGACCTTGTTCCCGTTGTTGTACATGGCAACCAGGCAGTAGATGTGGTAGATGTGGCCACACCTAGACAGCTTTCCCACCACGTCCGGCTTCACCGTTGGCTGTGAGCCCTTGTAGCCAGAGGGGGCCGTGAGGCGCTCCATACAGATGGTGCAGTCCTGGGGTGAGAGGGGGCAGAGCAGAAAGGCCATCAGCTCTCACCCAGCCTGGAGGCCAGACCATCTCCATGGTTGCATAATCTCAGCGGTCAGATCAGCTGTTACTGTTCCTCTTCTAGAAAGCCCACAAATCAGGGTGTATGTGCTTTTAGGAATCTAAACATAGTTGGTCTTGCTTCACACAACAGAGAAATTCTTGAAATAATGTGGGGATCTTCAAAAAATTTGTGGAAATATTTGTATTATCTTTTAATTCCATTTTTCCATGAACTTTTTCAAGTACCTCCATAATTCCTGGTAGTGGTACATGTTAACGTGGGCTCATCAACTAAATTATAATCTCCTCAAGGGCTGTGATGATGCACTGTCCTTTCTTTGTGTCCTACAATGGCTTGCAGAGGAAACAAATGCTTGTTGATAGACCCACTGATGAGCTTTACTTAAGCTGAACTTTNAGTGAAGGTTATTCTGGGCACAAGAAAGAACATGAGAAAAGTCTGTGACTTAGAAAAAGCTCAGACATTGCAAGGTGAGCATTATCACCTAAGGAGACTCCCAGATTCCTGGAAACCAGCTCTACTGGGGGAACACCATTCCATTGTCAGCTAACCAACAAGACCAGCATCACAAACAGCCTTCCTGTCCTCTGACAGTGGGACTCTAGGGCAGGGATTACCAGGTATACTTTGGCAACAGTTTTCTAACACCTTTGAAGGGACAATCAGAATGTCTTGAAGTTGTCTGAAGAAAATGAATTATAACTGAAATTACTAGCCCTGGAGAAGGGGTGATTGGGGAACCCATTCCCACTGGTATGAATGAACACACGCCATGGGCCCAGCACTGTGATAAGAACTTCTTTCTACTTCGTTGATGGGGCCCACTTCACCCAGCAATGGGCTATGACAATGGGCCACTCCCTTCAGAACCTTCATGGATGAAAACCCACCCCCCTCAGACCACCATACCCAAGG